CTTCCCAAAACTTTTTTGAGAATCATGAGGATCATGAATCTTGAATCATGAGAATCATGAATCATTTTGAGGATCATTTGTAATAATGGTATAAAAATAAAGTATTTTTTAAATTGTAAAAATTCAGACAGTTTTCTTTTAGGGTAAAACATTAAAGTTTTTAATTAGCTGGATATAAAAACGATAGAAGTCTATGCAATTTATATAACTGTGTGTGTGTGCGTGCGTGTGTGTGTGTGTGTTTTGTTCTTCAGGTCTGGATCGGTTCTGCAGGTTTGATCAATCTGATCCCTGTTACGCAGCTCTGGGACACAAACTCAATCTGCTGACGGTGCGGGACGCTAGAGAACATGACCTGAAGATAATAAAGAGAATAAACTACACACAAGATGATCCAGTTTGTAGAGTAAAAAATGACAGAATAAGGGAGAAAGAATGTGATCTTTATAATAACAGACCTGAAGTGACCATCATTAATGGGATTCTGATCATAAACCGTGTGATCAGAGCAGATTCAGGGAATTACATTTTATATTTAACTCACTCATGGGACCTAAGATCCACTGATGGATGGAAACAGCATTTATTTGGATGAGGGAACTGATGGAAACATCAGCTGCAGCGTGAAGAACGACGTCAGTCACTCACAGAAGACCATTAGACTCAAACCCTGTCCTGGTGAGATCATTCTTCTACAGATAATCAACCGCCCAGCACTGATTGATTGATTGATGTGTTTGTGTTGTTCAGTGTGTTCAGTGTCTGTGGTGTTTGTGCTGGTCTGGTGTTTCCAGCTGATGGTTCTGTTGGGTCTGTTATGAGGTTTTCACATCTACATGAGACACACGTCAGGTGAGACACATTTATGATCATCATTATGGATTTGACATGTGAATATTGAGAGTGTGGAGATGATGGTGTGATGCTTTTAGGAAAGAAAGAGGAAGATCAGAAAGTGAGAATGAGAAGATTTAGAGAGCGACATGAACACACAGCAGAAGATTCATGAGAGCAGCAGCAGATCTTCACATCTGTGAAAAATGACTTCAGAATCTCAGCGATTCTCACATCAGTCCAGCTTTCACCTGTCAACAGCAGGAGATCTTACAGAATAAAGCCAGAAGACATTTTCTGCAGTTTTAGTTAAGAATCTCTTCTTTGATTAGATGATTTTCTGGACATTTGTTTTTGCATCAGTTTAATGCTTATTTTATTCATTTGTGTTTGCGCTTTGAATGAACTAGCGGTATTTTACATCATTACATGAAACTCCTTCAGTTCATCCAGATTGTGAAGTCATTCTGTGTGTTTTTCACATTTTCTGCTCTTGTTATTTTATTCTGTTTATTCTGTTGTTTTTTGTTGATTTCTCTTCATATGCGGCTTCTGTTTAGATGTTTTATCTGTTCAAAACTCTTCGTCTTGATCCATGCCTCAGTTTTGGGGCGTCTGGTGTTTTATTATCCATGATTTTAAAATTCTACTTGCATGTGCTGTTTTTTAAATGGCTTTAACACATTTAGCCACATTTGTGCATTTTTTTAACAAGATCTTTGTGCCATTATAGAATATTGATAAACATAATTTTTTTAAGAATTGTAAATGAAATCAGTGTTGAATTTAAGCTTAACTTTGTTAAAGAGTAAACTGAAAATAAAATGCTTTGAAATCAATCAATTCACAGTCAAACATCTCACACTCATTCAATTTTTAAGGGTTTTAATACAGTCAATAAACATTTTAACTAACAGAAAGCACACATCATTGAATTTAAACAGACATAAAATTAAAACGACATAAAAATACAGACAGAAATCAAATTAATTTTAGGAAATGGATTCAGCTGTAACTGCTGTTTCCTCCTGCAGATGACGCTCATAACAAAGAAAGTGCGTTTTATCTTTTATAATGTGGTGTCTGGCTGTAGACAAGCTGGACCTTCTGTTCTTGCATTTCCCACAATATCTGACCAGACAGCTGAAAATATAGATTATTTACTATACATTAGTGAGTCTAGATCAAGTAAGAACACAAATTTGAACCCTGATGCTTTAATATACTTGCTGATTTATTAATGAATCACTGTAATCTGTTATATTTTCGTTAATTATTAATAAATAATTAGTTAATTTTAACTAATAAGAATCTGTAATGTAGGTTTAATTATAATGAAGTTCAAATAAATACACAGCAGCAGGCCTTCAACGAGCCTGGGCCGCGCCCCAGATCTCACCAAAGCCTCACTCGCTTCCCGCTGTGGCTCAGCCTTTCACCGTGGCTATTCCGGCCGCAGCGCCGTACGCAGCCGGGCCTCCAGCTCTCTTAGCGGACGCTAGCTCAAGGCTGCCTCCGCGAACGGCGCAGGCCGTATTGCAAATTAATTAATTTTCAGGTGAAGTCGCTAAAGGCAGGTTT